TTCCTCGACATTTTTAAAATATCCCTCGGCAGTTTTGGTTCAAACTCCTGCTACATACATTTTGTTGTATTGCAATGCATCGTCAACGGCTTTTTCTGCTGAACGTTGCTTCCAATTCAGGAAAAAAGGTATTGGAATTGTATAAGCTACCTTGTATCGAAGCTCAGATAGAACTGTCCAGCACCTTTGTTTATGACCAGAAAATGCGCACGAGCGGCAGCTCTGCGAGGAATTCGCTCCTCAGCCAGGGGGGACGAATGACATTGATGCCCATGTCTGCGAACCTATCTGTATAAACATGTATTGCAGCGCAAAACATAATGATCAGGAAAAACTACCCATTCATTGAACGAAGGAGTAACAGAAATTTCAGAGTTGTAAATTTATTCACGGGCATTATTTTTACGACAATTTTATTTTGCACTGTGATTGATGTAATTCGGTTCACAGGCATGGGCATCATTGTCGTTCATTTCCCCTGGGTGAGGTGCGAATTCTTTGCAGAACTGTCACTCGTGCTCATTTTGTAGTCATAAACAAAGGTGCTAGACAGTTCTATCTGAGCTCTGGTACGAGGTAGCGTCCAATCTCAATACTTTTTTCCTGAGTTGGAAGTAACGAACAGTAGTAAAAGTCGTTGAAAATGCATTGCAATACATCAAAATATATGCAGCAGGAGTTTGAGCCAAAACTTCCAAGGGATATTTTAGAAATGTCGAGGAACAAGTCATTCAACTTCAGAGCAAGGTTTAGCAGCAATTTATCTTGCTTCTAAAACTAAAAAGTACCGCTTAAAGAATACCACGATAGGCAATCAGCTTTTGTTTTCATTTTTAGCAAACATTGAATTTACTTGTCCCGAAAATTCGAACTGGTGGCTCCTTCTACCTCGTAGTAATCTATTTTTGAAATTCCAAAACAATTTCAAAGTACAGTTGAAGACGTATCTTTTTAAGAAAGCTTTTAATTTGTAATTTTATATTCTTTTACTATTATTATTTCTGCCATCTAGCCTTAGAAACTGTATGAACATTGACTCTTTTGAAGTGCAGTTGAAGACTTATCTTCTTAAGAAAGCTTTTAATTTGTAATTTAATATTCTTATTACTATTATTATTTCTTCCCATTTATTGTATATATACATTAATTTTCTTGTACATATTGTAAAGCGCTTTAGAGTATTTTAATAGTTAAAGCGCTATATTAAATGTAATAAATTATTATTATTATTATTATTATTATGATTACAGCTGAATTTTGAGCGACTTTTAGTTACGGAATTCTGCTCCTACGATTTTTCTGAAATTCTTCTGGCATATTTATTATGTCAATGAAAGCCGATACCAGAAATTTCAGTAAAAAATATCAGCAATTTTTTTTACTAGACGCGATTTTCTTTGAACAGTAATTTAGCAAAATGTATTTACCATCAATGAAATTGGAAAATTTCGTACTATTGCCGGATGATATGTGTTGTTCTTCGCAAAATTTCTCAGCCATTGCGTTAAAAACGAAAAAGTTATGACGAAAACTTCGTCACAGATAAATACGCCCGTATTAATTACGGAGCCACCTTAAATATAGCCAGTTATAAAAAACAACTGACGAGTCACGAACGAAAAGGAATGACAAGATGAGGTAAAAACCAGACTTAAACAACAACAACAACAACAACAACAACATCATCTTTATTTCTTACATTAAAAATACAAATATCACACCACCTGCAAATAGCAAGGCTAATCGAGGCAGGTGGTGTGTAGACGGCTTAAGATTTATTACGAATAGTTGAAGTGAAAAAGTACCATATTTATAATAAAAAAGGTCAGTCACGAGAGAAATTGAGATAAGAAAATCAAGGCAGCTATTTAGATAAGCGGGGGCTAATATTTTTTAAAATCGGAGATTATCGTGTTTAGGTCAGCATATCTATCCTGAACTTCAAATATTTTCAACAGAATTGTATGAACTTTTTCCTTAAAGAGAGATTTTGAAGAATTTCGTAAATTTTCAGGTATACTATTCCAAATTTTGGCTCCCATAATAGAAAACGAATCATTTTTCTGATTTAGTCTAGAGTGGCTAATGTAATAATTTCCAGAAGAGGAGGAGCGAGTGCTGTAAGAGTGGATTTGTTGAGTAGGAATAAAGAGATGTGAAATATTATGAGGGGCAGTGTTATTGTAAACATCAAACATTAACATCGAAGAAAGCTTAAAATAGAGCAATGTAATAGGCATAATATTAGAGTGAAGAAAGTAAGGGACGGCATGAGAGCGGAAACGTGCGAAGTTAATAAGGCGCACAGCTCTCTTTTGTAATGTAAGGAGTTTCTCCAAATGAGTTTTTGCAGCCTGGCCCCAGGCAACGAGGCCATAAGAAAGATAAGGGTAGATTAAAGAATTGTAAATCCCGAAAAGTGTCTTAGGAGGAACAAAATGTCTTAATTTAGATAGTATCCCGATGTTTCTACTAATTTTTAGCGCAACATAATTAATAT